ATTCGTTCGCTTCTGTGTGCTATCTGAAGCCAGCGGTATCCACTATCCAGCTCCAGCGCCCTGACAGTTGAACATCATAGCGACACCAGAGCGCGCGCGCGCGCACACATGACATGGGCAGTGTAAAACCACATGCTAATGCTAGTGAGCTAGTCACTCCTGGCTGGTCAGCAAGCTGAATCAGTAGTGGTGCGTCGCGATGGCTGACTCCGGCGAGCGGAGGGCATGCGGGGACGACGACGGCGACAAGGCAGCGTCGCATCAGCGTCACACTCGCAGGGTTTGACCTCCCCGTGGCCCTTTTTCCGAACCTTCTCGCCGGCAACTCGGCAGGATCCCAGAAGGCGGTCAGCAGGGTCCAGGAAGCCGGGGTCAAGCCTTTTCTCCCTGCCGAACCCGACGACCAGGGTATGTGGAAAACTCCCTCCGTAGGTGGCAGCTGCAGGTGCACTCACTCACTATAGTCACTGCCGCACCAGTGTTACAAGAGACCGAACTGACTGAGGCCGCCTCGGCAAAAGGCATGCGGACGGCGTCGCTGTCGCGGCGTCGTGGGCAAACTCCTGCCGCGTGGTTTCCCAACCAAGAACCAACCACCGTCAGCGTCAGGTTTTGTTTGAAAGCAACGGCGTATCCACAAAAAATTTTACTGCTACTCAATCTTAATTCTCAGCCTCACCTATACTATAGAACTTTATCTAAAAATTCATACGATTCCACTGCTCCGGTATGGGTAGATCCGCCCCTGCTTTCAAAGATTGCAGTGTACTAGTGTGCTTTCTGGCCAGTGGCCACACTGACCAGGGTGCTTGAATTGATCAACGTTTCTTGCAGCAAGCCCTGCTCTGAATAGTCCGAACTCTGAACCATCACGTGTGACATCGTGTGCCAGGTGCACACTCCGACAGTACAGCGAAGAGATGAATTCAACAAATTCCAGCGAATTTGTCCTTTTCGAATACTTGGCAGCTTTGGCGTTACTATTTCAACGTCTGGCCATTTGTCTTTTTCGAAAATATTTGTACAGATAACAGGAAATATATGACATGTGTTCAGAGTACTTTCGAGAACAAATCCAGCGATATCTTTCTCCCGTTACTTAACTGAATGTTTAAGCAAGCATTCTTAGTAAAAGTTTGACTAGCGAAAGCCGAAGCTGCAGCGAGGAGTCGAGGACCATATCCAAAAAACAAAAAACACACTTTCAACGAAGTAATATACACTTAGAGGAACGTCTAGAAAGAGCAAAATAGAAGGATCTTTAACAATGAGCTTCAAACGACGCAATAGGTCGCTGCTAAAGTTGGGAGGAGTTAGCGTTGAGAAGGACATTTGCTTGGGTTTTGTAAAGGCCATGTGTTTTGGGGAGTATTTTGGCTCTTGGGCTCTCTGTGCCCCTTTGCTTTGGCAGGCCGGGGAGCCTGTCATGTGCCATTTTAAAACTCCTGTAATTAACTCTATTTGCTTTCATCTTGATTAAAAGGTTACAATTGTGTTAAAAAAATTATTACCAAACAGAAGTCGGTAGTTTACATGTATCTGCTGCAGCAGCATAGTTGCATCAGGAATCAGCAGGTAGAAAAGCCACAGATCACAACTGATAAGGAGTTCCATCACTACACGTGTCTTTACCCAGAAGTATTTGTTCTGCAAGGGTGTAGTTTTTATTGTCCTACTGATAAGGAGAGCAGGCGCAAGCAGAGCTTGCAACACACCCCCATCTGTGTTCTAGGTATCAGACGAATAACACAGCCACTGATGCTATAATTGCAATTAAGAATGGCTACATAAGCTTGTTAAACTGCCAGGTATGTGAGCTTATTGTATACAGTAACAGCCACATAGTTCCAGGAAATGGCTAACTCCTAACAAGCACATCCGCTTGTCTGTTCAGTATCCGGGACTTGTTCTGTAACTGTCTTGAAGTAACTGGGGACACAAATGAACAAATAACAAACGCATATGATTAGAATTGCAAATCAATCTGGGAGTTGCCAGAATCTGGCAGCCTGAACCCTCCTACATCTTTGAAAGTTTTTTTTTGCTCTTTTTTCAATAAAAAAATAGTAAACGCATTTTGGTAGAACTTCAGCAAGGCCAAAAGCCAGAAAAAAAACATGGATTGAACGTTGTATCCGAACAAGAAACTGAAGACGCTTTTACTTACATGTCTTTGTCATGCTCGTGCTCCAAAGCGAGCTTGGCAATGCATAGAAAAGCAGTGTCAACATTGTGGTCCTCCTTTGCTGAGGTTTCGAAGTATGGAATATCGCCCTTGGAGGCACACCATTCCCTCGCTTTCTTCTCTGGAACCTGTGGGAAGGCAGCAAAGAGACTGCGGAGTATTTCGAATCTATATAAGAAAGTTTGCACATTCAGGAAACTAACCATTCTTTTGCTTCCACCATCTAAATCAATCTTGTTCCCCACCAAAATGAATGGAAAATGTTGAGGATCTGATGGGCTAGCCTAGAAGGGAAGAAAATGGCGAATCCTTCAGTTAGAGTACTCAGATCATGCAATACGCATACAACTGTACTTGGCAACGAAACCAAAACGTAGAGAGGTTCTGCCAGTTTATATACTGCATAGATTGTTGGGATAAATGTTCTAACATGTTTAGTTTATTTTCTTTTGATTTTGGAGGTAAAAAATGAAGTCTATGCAAACTATGATGAACTTGTTGTAGATGACTATACGTCTATACCGATCATCTGAACACTATCTGTTTGTGTTTTATACTCAACCTCATAAGAGCTGCTATTGTAAACAGACATCCAGAAAGATACATACTTGTGGGAGATGTGATCACAGTTCACAACGCACCAAACTATTGGCTAATGCTAATTTTTTTTTATATTTGCTACTATATCTGAATCTGAGTATCTGAAACGAAGAAGGCAGAAGGCAGCACGAAGATATGCAGCTCTTCGACAACAAAAAATCAAAAAAAAAAAAAAAAAAGGGGGGTGGCTTACTTGATTGAGGAACTCATCATGCCAGGTATTGAGTGTATTAAAGCTTCTCTTAGCATTAACATCATAAACTAGCACACAGCAATCGGCACCCCTGTAGAACGCTACGCCAAGACTCTGGAACCTCTCCTGCCCCGCCGTGTCCCATATCTGCATAGCATAACACAATGACGACGGACGACCGCCGCATGGTCCGTTTCCTCTTGGTGGCCGGCGTGCAAGAATGAATTAACCGAAATCATATTTAGACCAAGAGGATCACCTGCAAGGTGACAAGCCTGTCGCCGATGAGGACCTCCTTGGTGAGGAAATCGGCACCGATCGTCGCCTTGTACTGCTGGCTGAACTTCTTGCTCACGTATCTAGTCATTGTCAAGCAAATCTAAGCATCTCCCAGTACGGCGAATACCTTGAAGGCATACTTTCATGAGTGAAGCATAAATATCAATCATACTCCACTACGCAGTTGTCCAAACAATGGACATTTCACTGTATGATACAGATACAGCTTTGCACCAACAGATCAACTGACCGGATGAAAGCAAAGGGAAGACAAACAACAGTTTAACTAAAATTGTTATGAACGTGAGCAAAGATGAAGGATACTGGTTCATCAGCGACGTCTTGCCGACCCTGCACTCGCCAAACCAATTCACCAATCCATGAGAAGCCGACGTTAAGCAAACCGGGACCGAGCGCCAGCAGGAACAGGCAGAAAAGAAATGGAGGAAGGGCGAGAATTAAGCGAAGGTGAAACGCCTGACCCGCTGTCGCCGAGGACGATGACCTTGAGGAGCGTCCGCCTCCGCAACGACTCCATGGGGTGGGCGGGCCGCGGGCGAGGCGATGGGTGTGGCGGCGACTGGGCGATCACCCTCGTCACACCTTGTATCACGAGGCGCACAGGAAACGAGGGGGAGAAAGGAAGGAGAGCGTTGGAAAGAAAGCTGTGAGACTGAGACCGCGGGCGACATTTGATCTGGGGCTCTTCTGGTCTCCCGTCTCCGGCACGTCGGCAACTGATGCACGGGCGTGACCGACGAGCTTTTTGGAGAAAGAAAAATTGGGCCGCTGCCTCAATTTACACCCATGGGCCAAATCTGGCAGTGTACCTAGGAGTGGGCCGCCGAAACCATTTGAGTTGAGCGCAAGGCCCAAATAGGAATACAGGCCGCGGCAGAAGCCGGCAGAAAAAAAAAGTCACTTGATTCTAAAAAAAAGTCACTTTTTATTTGTCTTCCTGAGATTAATTACCAGCTTAGTTTGCGGTTTCTTTCTCAACTGCAAATCAAACATTCTGGTTCCTTTAAGTCCGCCATATATCAAAACCATCCACATATCAGCGCCACGTAACGAGAAAACCATTTTTTTTGAAGAGTAACGAGAAAACCATTTTAAGAGGTTAGGAGAGTGTGAACATCTAATTTTGCAGTTTATAGAAAGGAATGACTTATTAGATGATAGTTTAGTGAGTCAAAAATTACTTTTTTTCATGACAGATGTTTGGGAGTTTAGTGAGTCAAAAAAACCTGGAGTTTGGAGTCAAGGAGTACCTTTTTTGTCTTTCTCACACTCCACCCTTTTTTCATGAAAAAACATAGAAATGCGGAATGAAAAACGTAAGTAGGGATACTATAAATAAAGAAGATAAATTTGTTCAGTAGCGGGCCAAATTCAAATTGAATGGAATAAAATCGAAATGGGACAGACAGACAGAGACAGTCAGGCGTGCACATGGAAGGATAAGGTGAGTTGTCCACCCATCCTGGGTCAGATTGTTCGGGATCCGCGCGCAACCCAATCACCCCACGCGCGGCACCTCGATGCCGATGGCGTCTCACGCGGGGCCCACATCGCAGCCGCCGTGGAAAGTTAAAAGCGCCCGCTGGGATACACGACAAAGCACGAGGAGAGGCTCCGTCGGAGTGCAGAGTGCAGAGTGCAGAGTGCAGAGAGCGGACGCAACAGCCCACTCCCCAGCGATCGAAGTGAGCAGCGCAGTGAAGCCAGGCGCCCTCGCCGCCGATGAGCCGCCTCCTCTCCCGGAGGCACCTTGCCGCCGTCCGTCGATCCGCACCCCTCGCGTGCGTGTCCAGGTGATCCCGCCTCTCGCCCCGCTCCTTTTTTTTTTTCTTGCCCCGCGATCTGTTGCGCGTGCAAATGGAGGTGCCGTTGCGACGTTGCGCGATCTGATGCGAGTTGGGGGAATCGCACTGATGGGCAATGCGTACTGTGTAGTGGCGATAGCTGATAGGGTTCCGTGCCCTGTCAGGGTTGTTAGTTGTTGGGGGAATCAGGGGAGCCGTGCGTGTGGTTACTACTCGATGCCGCACTAGGTGTGGATGATAAGTTCACTTAGGCCTGCGGCTGATTGTTCCGGTGATTTGCAGGTGGCTGCACACGCCGTCATTTGCGACGGTGTCTCCGCAAGAGGTTTCAGGTTCCAGCCCCGCGGAAGTGCGGAATTTTGGTAAGGACTCTGCTTGTGGTTTTTTAGTCTTCGAAATCAATGCTTATGTTCTCTTCCTGAGTCAAGAAGCGATTACCATGGAAATGGAACCATATGACTGTTCACCAGGCTACATGCGTGTGTTCCCACTTCTCACTCAAGAATATGCAAATCTCAACAACATTTAGATGCACAGCAATGCAAATCTAGCCTCGAGTTGTTTCTGTCTCAACAACAGTGGTTCAGTGCAGGGAAGCTGGACAGCACCTGCTAACTGGAACTGGATAGTTGATCCCTTGAACGGTGACCAATTCATCAAAGTTGCTGAGGTTCAGGGAACAGAAATAAAGGTATGTTTAGGGATAATTCTCTTATATTGCCCATTTGTGTTCATGAAAAAGTTGAAAACATAATCCAAGTACATTTAATCTTTTCAACTTCCCTCAACTTTAACAAAAAAAAACAGCTGTACCTTTGTTATATATAACTGGATTTTTCACCTGCCTCTTATTTTGGCAAGGATATGTAACTTCATCATACCACTATGAAACAGCTAAGATAGAACATTGAGAAGTTGTATTTAAAGTTGTTTGATATTTTCATATTGCTATTTGAGGATAGAGATGTTGTTTGTCGAGATCTTGTGTCAAGTATGTTCTCATACATTGTGTGATGTCTTTTCTCTTTTTTCCTTGTATAGCCATTTGTGGAGAGTTTATCTAAATGCCCAAAGCATGGACTTCACAACCCACTTAAAGCTCCAGAGAGGTGTGTTTGGCTATCTTCTGTTTTGAACTGTATTTCAGGGCTAACTTATTTTGGCTTGCCAAAAGGAGCAATCTAACGCGACAGTTTATTAAGCCCACTGATATGCCCTCTGTCCTCTGAATCTCTCATTAATATTACCATTTTCGAAGTTGATTGTTACTCTTTGCTTGATCATTGAAGTTTATGCTATGCTACAAATAATCTCTTGCCATGATGTCCCTAGATCTCTGACATGTGTTCCAACATCCTAATAGAAAAACTATACTGACACATAGTTTTGTAACATCATAAATTCACAATTTTGGTAGATTTTACTTTTCACGTCTCCAATTTTTAAATCATTATTTATCATAACATTATTGCTCTTTTCTTTAAAAAGCTCTAATGTGCAGGTACCTAATGTATGGAGATATATCTGCAAAAGCTGCACATATGCTGGGCCAACCTGCAGTATGCCATCTTGTCCTATTGATACTAAAATTATTTATCTATCTTTTATCCTTGTAAATATTCTCCAAATGATACTAGTATGATTGGATTGATCTGCCTTGTGAAATACTTTACACTGCAAAATAAGTCATGTTGAGAAGAGACACAGTTATTAATTTAGTTTTATGGCTCATTGTCGTCAAAATGCTCAATGCAGGTCTCAGATTTCTTTGCTAAACTTATCCAGAGGGTATCTCCAAAGAGCTACCAACAAGCTCTTGCAGAAGTTCAAGTTTCTCAAAAGTTTTTGGAAAACTTTTGTGGAGATCAGGTATTTCAGCCTCTGTTTGCTTCCTTTTTCTACATATAATATTTCTTCATTTGCATGATGACAAAAGCTGTCATGCGTAATAATCTATCCATTAGTGTTGATCTCATGTAATGTTTTTTTTACAACATAGTTGTAATGTGTTGAGGGCATGCAGATATCAAAATGGTCTAGTCTGAACTGTGCAGATTGGAAGAAGATACTCCAGTTCGTAGATTCAAAGAGTTTCACTTATCTTCTCATTACTCAATATTCTCTTTGTTTGGTGTAACAGGTACGCTTTCTGGCAAGGTCATTTGCTGTACCTGGCAACCATCTTGGACAAAGAAGTAATGGCTACCGTTGGCCATATGGCCCAGTAAGTGTTCTTAACAGCCTCTTCTGGCAAAAACAAAAAAGTTTTTGAAATTTCTTGGACTCCTTTTTGTCTCTAGTCTTTAGAGCACATAAAAAAAACCCATGTGAAATAACCTAATTATTATGAATAATTTTCTAGAGGATCAAGTTAATTTTCATGGATCGAATATTGTAAGTGATAAGTCCTTGTTCCTTTTGAGTTATATTTCAGTTTAAGTTTCAAGATATACCTTTTCATCTCTTGGGGTGGGGCATGTCTTTAAACAAAATTTGTAGTACTGGTTAGCTGGAGTTGAAGAAAACTTTTACTATGCTAGTCAAATTGGCTGTTGCCATGTCTGTATTGCTGAGTGAATCAGTGTTGACACATTGGAGTGAAGTCTACATGCTAGCTGATGAGATAGTTCTATCTTATGCTGTATAATTTGTATTTCTTTTATTCAAATTTATGATATGTTAAGCTAAGATCTAGAATTTGTGCAGGTTGCAATTATCACACCATTCAATTTTCCGTTGGAGATTCCCTTACTACAAGTAATGGGAGCGCTATACATGGGAAATAAACCAGTACTCAAGGTTGACAGCAAGGTTAGCATTGTGATGGAACAAATGATTAGGTTGCTTCATGATTGTGGATTGCCAGCGGAGGATATGGATTTCATAAATTCTGATGGTGTCACAATGAACCAGCTTCTGTTAGAGGTATGAATGGTTATTCTATGATGGTACAAGTTATAACAAGATAGAGTAACTAGATAAGGCAACACACATTTTTCAGCGGGGTCAAGGAAGTTACTTTGGATCACAGACTTGATTGTTTCAAATTTTGTACATTTGTTCTTGGTTTGTTTATTTACTGTTATGTTCTGTGACAAACTAGTTCCATTTTTGAAACATGTGCCTGTTTCTTTGTTTTAACATTTTAGTTTAAGAATTAAAGAGTTGTTCATCTCATTGATAATCACCAATATGGTGTGCTTCAATCAATTCAGTTAACATTTTATTTCTTGGTCTGCGATACTTCTTTAGGGGAAGTATGTGGCACATAACATTGTCTTCTTTTTTTTTTTGATAAGATGGCACATAACGTTGTGTTCTGCAATTGAGGTTTTAAAGAAATTAACACAGAAGAATGTGCTATCTGCCAGTTTATATTCATTCAGTGCTTTTATGTGGAAGTTCTCATGCTTGAATTTTTTGTGATATCATGTAGGCTAATCCGAAAATGACCCTTTTCACTGGGAGCTCACGGGTAGCAGAGAAATTGGCTGCTGATTTGAAAGGCCGAGTCAAATTGGAGGATGCTGGTTTTGATTGGAAAATTCTTGGTCCAGATGTTCAAGAGGTCTAAGCCATATTTCTATTCAATGTCTAAAAATCATATATTCACAATCAGAATTATGACTTGACTGGATTTCTGTAATTTATGACCAAACAGGTTGATTATGTTGCATGGGTTTGCGATCAGGATGCTTATGCTTGTAGTGGTCAGAAATGCTCTGCTCAGTCTGTTCTATTCATGCACAAGGTAAAGACTGCCAAATGTGCCTTACTTTGCTAATTATCTAGGACTGTTGTTGTGGACTGTGTTCATCGTTGATGAAGCATATAATGTTCTTGGTTGGTTGATCTATGACTTGTGGTCGGTCCTTTGGTGCTTTATTGTCTGGTAACTTGGTCAATGCTAGGGTTACTACCTCTCTAATCATATTGGTCTAAAAGTTTTGGGTCATTATGTATCTTCTCAAGAGGATTAAAAAAGAAAAGAAAAGGCATCAACAGCTGGGACTGGGAGCGGGTGACAGTTATTGTGGATGCATGTGCTATTGTAGGTTAATGAACTTCGGAAGCTATTTATGATCTTACAATGCCCTTTGGCATATTTTAAATTGCAATCAAAGTACTCTGCTTCTTGTTCTTTATTTGTTGTATAATTTGCTTCCACTTGCAGAATTGGTCTTCTAGTGGTCTGCTTGAGAACATGAAGAAACTTTCTGAAAGAAGGAAGCTTGAAGATTTAACAATTGGTCCAGTCCTTACAGTAAGTGGACAATTCTGGATTGTAATCACAAATTGTTCTTTGTAACTAAAATGGTGTAGTGTCATTTTGGGAACAAATAGTAGTTAAAAACTTAATCAAGCAATAAATGGAATCAGGTAATAATATTTTTTCCTGTTATTTTAATAGATGTGAGGATCCAGACATCAGGTAGTGTGTAAGAGAAGGCAAAGGAAATTGTCTTTGCACAGTACAGGTTTTCATGTAAAAGGTCAAATATGTGTGGAGAAAAAAAAAGAACATGTAGCTATTCATCACTATTTTTGTTGTCTCAACTGTTTATATGGTTAGAACTGGATTAGCGGTATAAACATTTTTTCTGTTTCTTCTTAGAATTAATTAATATCATGGATCTTTTCTGATCCAGGTTACTACAGAAGCCATGATAGAGCACATGAACAACCTTCTCAAAATACCAGGATCGAAGGTTCTGTTTGGTGGTGAACCATTGGCGAATCACTCAATTCCCAAAATTTATGGTGCCATGAAGCCTACTGCTGTATTTGTTCCTCTAGAAGAAATTCTAAAAAGTGGGAACTTCGAGCTTGTGACAAAGGAGATATTTGGTCCATTCCAGGTAATAGACCCTGGATGTAATTATGTTACCATAATGAAAAATAGTACAATAATGCTTGATAATCCTGGCATTCCTGACACTAGTACTGCCAACCTCTTCCAAAAGCGTATATAATTATATATTAAAGAAGGATCTGTGATAACAGAATATAATTGTTCTTGGATATGGATTACAAATCTGCATTCTATTTTTAGAGTTAATTCATGGCTTTATTTTGTTCTAAGCAGTAAGATGCAATGATGCATAGAACTTTAGAAAAACGAAATTAATTGATGTCTGGCATTCGTATGACACTAATATCAATCCAGTATAGCAATTATTAACCCCTTCCTGAAGCATCTACCTGAGATGGAAAATGTCCACGACTACAGAAAAAGGCATAGTTGAACTGCAACATGTACCTGTAGTTTTTTCCTACATTCATTCGAAGCTGCATGCATATTTTTTAAACCAGTCTTTGTTGTTTTCCTTATCACCCGTACTGACAGATGCTTTGTCAGGAGTTAACTAGTACATGTTTCTATGGTGCTGATTTATTCTATCATTATAGGGCATTCTTAAGTTTAATGTTTTTATAGTAATATAAACTGACCTATTCTGATTCCATAATCCAGGTAGTTACAGAATACTCTGAGGATCAGCTTGAATTGGTCTTAGAAGCCTGTGAAAGGATGAATGCACATCTGACGGCTGCAGTAGTCTCAAACGATCCACTATTCCTGCAGGCAAGTTGGTTTAACTCTCTGCAAGTTGGTTTAACTCCGCATTTCTCACATGGAACTAGTTTGATAAGTTAGGATTTCTTCAGCATACTCTCAGGATCCTCCAAAAGCATCACTGTCAGTAACCAAACACTTGAATGATTTCAGAACGTTTTCCTTGTCTTGGTTTATTTTCAGGATGTACTTGGGAGATCTGTTAACGGGACCACGTATGCCGGAATTCGAGCGAGGACCACTGGCGCTCCACAGAACCACTGGTAAGCCAAGACCCAAAACCAACTTGACATGTACGGTTAGTAGGTTACAAGTATATACATGAATTATGGCAACGTAACATTTCCATCCCACTGTAAAATCTAGGTTTGGCCCGGCTGGTGATCCGCGAGGCGCTGGCATCGGAACTCCGGAAGCCATCAAACTTGTTTGGTCCTGCCACAGGGAGATCATATATGACATCGGTCCCGTGCCCAAGAGCTGGGCGCTTCCTTCCGCGACTTGATTGACGAGGAGAGACCATTCCATTTCATGGGGAATAAAAGGGGAAGAGAAGAGAAGCTGGCAGGGCCGGAGTAGTCAGGAACCGAGAGTGAGTGGCCTTGAATGAATAATATAACCTGCATTTCTAGGCATTCTCTGCACCCTCAACCTCAATAAAACACAATAAATGGGTCTTATAGCCTGATGTACCAATGTTCGTTCCCCATGGTTGGATTGGATTAGTTACAAACAACATGCATGCACTGGTGGACTTCCTCGAAAGTGCTCTGATTGCATCGTCAGCGGACAATCCGTCTGTTCGCAGCTGCGCTGGGTCCTCGCTTCTTAGTTCTTCAACTGAAGCACATTGTTCTATATATGCTAGTGCTGATTATATGTAGTTCTCGTCTTCTCGATATATTGGAACCAGTTAGCCGCCGGGGCTAGTACGTGGTGATTATATATAGTTCTCGATATATATTGTGACCAGTTAGCCGCCGGGGCAAAGGAAGCGTGAACCCGCCATACCTCGTACCAAACATCGACAGAGCCACACAACCCTCCTATATATTCCTCGTACCAATCATCGTCAGAGCCACGAGTCCAAACATACAGCTTGAACTAGCTCTAGCTCCAACGCATAGCTACGTACGTACAGTACAGAAATCTAATCCTGCAATGGCCAAGGCCGAGCTCCTCCTCCACGCCGTCGTGTCCACGCTCTCCGTGCTGCCCTTCTCCTCCCTCGCCGTGTACCAGGACTTCTGCGTCGCCGACCTAGCCGCCGGCGCCACGTGTCACGGCGCGCGCAAGGGTGAAGAGACAGGCGAAGGGCGTGTCCCAAACAGGAAAACGTATTTGCATCATTTATGTAATAGATAGTTGATGACATGTGGGTCATTTGAGACCAGCGGCTTGAGCCATATATACTGAACACTTGCTGTAATAAGGCATCGACAATATATTTACAAATACAGTAAAAGGGCCGGAGTGAGATTCCTCCGTCGCTCGGTCGAATCCGGCGATCCCCCTTGTCGTGCTCACGTCGACAGCGTCTCGCCGGCGGACACGGGTCTGTCAAGTGGTATCAAAGGCGATCCTTCCTTGGCAACGACCCACCCACCCTATCCCTGTTCGGCGCCTCGTCGTTCTTCACCTCCATCGTGCAGTCATCGTCACCAACCCCGGCGCCAGATCCAGCTGAATAACCACCACCACCACCGAGGCGCGCAGCTCGCACCGGTACGTCCCGACACCATCTGCTTCGATCTGCAGGTCGTAATTCCGGTCGGCAGGTGACCACCGTCCACGCCCCAGAGGTGTTCGACGCGCGGTCCCGTAGGTCCTTCCTTAGGTTGAACTGGGTCAGCGATGGCAAAGGCGTTCCCTTAGCTTGCGCACTTCACTCTCCACCTCTACCAAACCCAAATCCAACACCCGCCTTCCCGATCTCCTGCATCTACGGCTTGACAAACGACTGGGGGACTACACCGACAACATTTGGTTCGGCGGCGTGAACCACTGTGAGCTCAACTCTTCCGCTCACATCCTTTTCTCTTAGCACAGCTTGACGACGAACAAGGGTTGCGCGGCATCTGTCCACGCGTAAAATTCCGGCGTTTGGTCGTTCAAGTCTGGTGCAGTGGCGTTGGTGAGGAAGTATCCGTGGATTTGGGTTGCAGAGTGCTGATCTCTGTGTAAAATCCCTCGATCCCGCCTTACTTCCGGGAGTTGGGTACTGGTGAAGCACGTAGTAGGGGAGGTTTCGACCAAGCCTGTTGCTTCACAGTGGAGTCCTCAAGCGTTCAATAGTTTGCCGCAACGGCTCCACCGAAACCTTCGAAGCAAACTCAGATCCTGCTAGACCACATGTCGAAGAGCGCCGATGATGATAAGTCCCGCTGGGACCAGATGATGGAGAGCGTTGATTTGCTTTTCCACAGAATAAATGATATTGGCGTCATCCAGCAGGAGCCGAAGACTCAAATGCAAGAGAACAACAAGAAAGTCGATAAATGTGCAGCTGAGCAACAATTCATAGCACAACAGGTCAGAGCAAATGGTCAAGCTGTTGCACAGCTCACTCTTCAGCAATTTGATAAAGAACCGCAAGAATTTAGTGATGGTTCAGTGTCTGTCATCTTTGAGGAAGAGGAGGACTTCCAAAATGTGTTTGCCCACACCAAAGACGGCCATAAACCATCCGCTTCCAAACACCCAGCACCACACAAAGAAAGAGGACCTCCCACATCACACCCTTCCCAAAATGCAATTCCCAACCTTTGATGGTGAAAACCCCAAGATATGGATTGATAATTGTGAGAACTACTTCACCATATACACTATTCTAGAGAGGCTTTGGGTAACTGCAACATCAATGTATTTGCAAGGCAATGCAGCTATGTGGTGGCAGGCTTACAAGCAGGCTCACAGAAAGATCTCATGGACAGACTTCTGCTTAACTGTGCAATCAAAATTTGGCTCTAATGATTACAAATTTTGATGAGCTGTTCTTTGCAACAAGTCAAAATTAGAGCCAAAATTTGGAATTAGAGCCAAAATTTTGATGAGCTGTTCTTTGCAAATTTTGATGAAGTATAATTTGGCTCATCAAAGTGGCAACTTTGATGAGCTGTTCTTTGCAACAACTTATGTGACTGGCCCCAAGGAAGATATTAGATCAATTGTGGAACCCCAGGTTCCAACCACAGTCGAAAGGGCTACTATTATAGCAAAGATACAACAAAGGATCCTAGCGAGAAATAAACTGAAATATTAGCGAGCCAACAATCCAGCTACACAATAGCAACACAAACCTGACCAAGCCAATACTGGCAGATATGTTAACTTATGGAGGGACAAGCAACTAGGAGATTACAGAAAGGCCAACAATTTGTACTATCACTGTGGAGAAAAAATTGAGCCTGGCCATGCTGAGGTCTGTACAAAGAAGACCAAACCACAAATCAATGTTCTAGTGGTTAATGATCTAGATAAAGAGATCAATGAGGATCTTCTTAATGAAATGGAAATAGATGAATTGGTGACTGAAGACTTCTGTCAATTGTCATTGAATGCTATGGCTGGTACTAAATCCAAGGATTGCACCAAGCTGAAGACCACTATCAAGAACAAGACAATGTTGACTTTAGTGGACACTGGGAGTTCCCATAGCTTTGTTAGTTTCCATTTTGTGCAGCTAACCAAACTACAAACAATTCCAATGGACAAGCAAAAAGTGAAACTTGCCAATAGAGAGTGGATGACAACTGCAACCATGGTACCAAATCTCACTTGGTATATTCAAGGCCATACATTCACATCAGACATGATTGTGTTGGACCTTTTGCCATATGATGCTATTTTGGGATATGACTGGCTAGAGAGCCACAACCCAATGCAGTGTGACTGGGTAGGCAAAACTTTAACATTCCAGCATAAGGGCAACATTGTTACTCTGAGAGGCATCAAGCCCCACCCATTGCAATTGAGTACAATCTCAGCTAAGCAGTTCTACAAATCAACATAGGGAAATGATATTTAGGCATATGTTGTGCTGGACACCATGAAGGAACAGTCAGAAGCAAACAACGTAGTACCAATGGTTCCCAATGAGGATGTCCAGCTATTGTTGCATCAATATGCTGATGTCTTCAAGGATCCTCAAACCCTTCCACCACCAAGAAGTTATGACCATGCCATTCCCCTTATGCCTAATGTTGTCCCCATCAATTCCAGGCCTTACCATTATTCACCTCAGCATAAAACTAAAACAGAAAACCAAGTGAAACAACTGTTGGATCATGGACTCATCACACACAGCCATAGTCCATTTGCATCCCCAGTGCTCTTGGTCAAGAAGAAAGATGGTAGTTGGAGCTTTTGCATAGACTACAGAAAGCTCAATTCAATCACTATCAAGAACAAATTTCCAATGCCCATTATTGAAGAAATACTAGATGAGTTACAAGGCTCCAAGGTGTTCACCAAGTTAGATATGAGATCTGGATATCACCAAGTGAGGATGTTGCCTGCAGATGAACACAAGACAACATTCAAAACCCATCAGGGCAATTATAAGTTTAAGGTCATGCCCTTTGGCTTGACTAATGCACTAGCAACTTTTCAATACATTATGAATCAAGTGTTGCAACCCTTCCTCGTGCAAGTTTGTCTTGGTGTTCTTAGATGATATTCTCATATATAGCAAATCCATAGAAGAACATATCCAACATCTACAACAAATGGAGACACTAAGGACTAACAAGCTATACCTCAAAGCATCTAAGTGCTCATTTGCTCAGCAGCGATCTAGAATACTTGGGCCACATTATTTCTGATCAGGGGGTGTCTACAGACCCAGCCAAGACTCAGGCAATGCTCCAATGGCCAATACCAACATCCTTCATAGAACTTAGGGCATTTTTGGGGTTAACTAGCTACTATAGGAAATTTATGAAAAACTATGGAATTATAGCAAAACCCCCACACTACTACTCAGGAACAAACAATTTCAATGGACTGATCAAGCCAACACAACATTTCACAATCTGAAAATGGCCATGACAACAACACCTGTCCTTGCACTTCCAAATTTTCAAGCTCAGTTCACAGTTGAAACAGATGCTTGCATAGATGGAATAGGGGCAGTGTTGATGTAGAATGGGCAGCCTATTGCTTATCTCTGCAAAGCTCTATGAGAAAAGCATAAACAACTTTCAATCTATGAGAAAGAATTCTTAGCATTAATAATGGTAGTGGAAAAGTGGAGACACTATCTGCAAAGGCAGGAATTCATCATTCTGACTGATCACAGATCCTTGGCATATCTTTCAGAACAAAATCTTCACTCTGATATGCAAAGAAAAGCAATGACAAGACTAATGGGCCTTTAGTTCAAAATCAAATACAGAAAAGGCAAAGAGAACATGGTTGCAGATGCTTTGTCCAGGGTGGCTCATATGCTAACTATACAGGCAGTATCAGTGGTGCAACCACAATGGGTATAGGAAGTGCTGAACT